GCACCTGTAAGAATCAGGTCGTGGCCCCAGTTGAGCCAAGGTCTTTCCAGTGCCCTTGTCAGGAGAGCTCTCCTGCGCTTCTTCATGAGGAGGTGTGGCAGGTGGACAGTCCACCTCGCTGGAACACCTGGCCTGGCACATCTGGCCTGGAACACCTGGGTGACGCACCTGGCCTGGTGCACCTAGCTGGCGTGTTCTTTTCCACTTTGTGTTGCCTGAATTGGAAACAGCTGTGACTCTGTCATTTCTCCCTGGGTTCCCTTCTTACAAGACCTTCATTTCCATTCTGGCTACATGAAGCTTAGATTCTGCACGTTGTTGATGTCTGGGGTTTTTTCACATCAGTAGAGTCAAACTCGAGCTCTAAATTGTCATCAGAGTGCTGATTGCAGTAAGTTTCATATCAAACAGAAAACCTACTTCATTAGTGGTGCAAACTCACAAAAACAATAATTTCCTAAGTCAGTGTTCTGAAAATAATTCAAGGAGAAAGGGAAGGGGTACCTGTGTTGGGAGAACAACTCTTGTCTGTACCCACGCTGGTCATCTTCATTCAGAGTACACACTCCTCACATAAAATGAGGACATTTTACTCGATCCAGGATTCACAAGAGCCTGTGATGGGCGCTCCGGCCAGCTTCACACACCTGCCCAGGTGAACCTTGAGTTTCTTGAGGTGGCAGGCATTGAGTTGCCCTCGGAGAAACCCTTGGCTGTTTTCCCCAGAACTTTGCAGAAGTCAGACTAGCTTGAGCCTAGACCAGTGGCCGGCAAACTGCGGCTCCCGAGCCACATGCAACTCTTTGGCCCCTTGAGTGTGGCTCTTCCACAAAATACCGACTTCTTCGCATGGGCCATGAAGTTTCAATCACATTATACATGCGCGCACGCACGTGGTATTTTGTGGGAGAGCCACACTCAAGGGGCCAAAGAGCCACATGTGGCTCGCAAGCCGCAGTTTGCCAACCACTGGCCTAGACAATAAGATGGACAAGTTCACAGCAAGGAGCCTTCTGAGTCATAGAATGACCGACGGCCCTGAGAAGACAGGCCCCCCTTTATTCCTGGGAATGATGTCAGACGTGTCCTGTCTCTGCCACACGCCTGCAGTCCGCATTAGTC